CCCGACATTGGCATTCTCCTGCGAATGAGCGTCGATGCAGCCAACGGAATGGCATATCTGGAGTCGAAAAATTGCATCCATCGGTTAGTCTGCCGTTTTCAGCCACTCTATTTTGGCTAGATCCTCACCTGTCTACTGTTAGACCGCCTTTAACTGTGCCTTCCCATTGTGCTTTAGTGACTTGGCTGCGCGCAATTGCCTTTTGACAGAGGACCTGACACTGAAGATTGCGGACTTTGGCATGGCTCGTGAAGAACACGTGTATGAGGTGAGTGCTTGCAACCTCTCTCACACGCCCCTTCATTTCCTTCTGTGTTGATCTGTGTCTGGCATTCTGGCTTTACACCTGTCGGAGGAGCATCAGTCAGATCCGCAGTCTCGGTCCAGCAGAGACAGTAGAGCCTCTTATAACTAGCAAGATGTATATTTCCTGCCTTGATCCCGGAATGACCTGCTTCTTGTCTTTTCAGCTGAGTGATCGAAACGGTCCCATTCCAATCAAATGGACGGCTCCAGAAGCTCTGGCTTCCAATCGCTACACCAGCAAATGCGACGTCTGGTCCTTTGGTATCCTGCTCTGGGAGATGTTCACAGGTGGCGATACGCCCTATCGCGGTCTCTCCAACAATGAGACTCGAGATCTGGTCGAATCTGGTAATAAATCAATTATTAATGTCCTTACTTTTTTGCCGCCAATTCAATACGGAGTCTGTAGTATTTCGAAGTGTGTGCGTGACGCCATTCCTCTGTCCTGTAGGCTACCGCCTCAAGACACCGGAGTGGATGCCTCGACAACTCGGAAAACAAATGCAGAGCTGCTGGGCTGCTGATCCCAACCGTCGGCCGACCTTTGCCAACCTTGTGGAATCACTCTCCAAACTGAAACGCGAGTTTGAGGGCGACTCGGGTAGGGCTGCCAATAGCACCATTGGTTCCGTTTCGCATGAGCAGAAGGTGAGCGGTTCACACACCTCCCAATCCGGTACTTCTGGTGGTGTAACCCGCATCACATACCGACAGTCGCGTCTCCCCTCCGGCGATATCGACTCTCGCGTCACGAGGGTGTCCGCTCGCCTGCCCCGCACGGAGCCCTCAATCAGCGGCGGCGGCGGCGGCGGCGGTGGCAGCAGCCAACAGTCGGACTCCAATGAGGAACGATTCTAACTTAAAAGGGACGATTGCTGTTCAACCTGCGTCTTCCCCCCCACACCCTCCTCCCCCCCCACCAACAGCTTTGTCCTCTTTCAGGTTCAACTGCGAAGGACGAGGAGAAACTGTTCCCTTTGAAAAAGACGAAGAAGCAAGAGCGCCAGCGCACCCACAGTAGAGGTGGAGCACAAATAATAACCTTTGTATCTGTGATCTAACAGAGCATTTGCCATGTGCTATATGCTCTTAATTCCCTCCTTCTGCCCCGCCCTCCCTCCCACCATCATTTTATATTCAATTAGAGGAGTATCGCGCCAGAGAATTGCCGCACTTCCCTCAGGACCTCCGTGCAGTGATGATGATGAAGATGATGCCCCAGTCTCTGAGTATTGTCGGCCTGAGGAGAGCCCAGTTAGTGATACGGCCACCCCTTCTTGCCTCCGGTCACTTTGTCGGTCTCCCGCCCCGTGTACTTGTTTCTATTTTTCTTCTGCTGGCGCGGATTTTCCCGTCTCCCAGCGCTTGCTAGCCCTCCTTCCCTGCGCTTGACACCTGAGAAGCTTCTTTTGCCGCCTTTTCCTTTTCGTATGTCTTTATTAGTACGTAACTTTTGCAAGAGCTGTATCGCCTTCTGAGCCCTCCTTGATCGTCATGTCGCGCGGGCAGCTATCGTGGTTGGGCCCGGCAGACGGTGGGAATTGTGGCTACTAGCGAACCCCCGTCACCCCTTGGTGCGTGGGCGGTTGACGCGTCGTTCCATGTTGAACATCAGACACCACTCACGTTATCTCTTTGGGACGGGCCTATCCTAGACTCCTAATCCTGTTAAAATCGACCAAAATCTTCGGATCCGCACTCAGGGAACTGGAAAACTGAAATGCCACTTCTGGCTTATTCGCTGTCGGGTTGACCCGACTCAGGTGGAGCAGACTTGAGGTCAGAAGCCTGACTGTGTCGGGTATTGGACCAACGCTCTGTGCTTGAGTCGGGAACCCACCTCCTGCAGTGTTAGTTGCCATGATATATGCGTTCAGAAAAATTCCTGCACGGTTGAGTGTCTATTCAGTCGACTGCCATCGAAAGGTGACTACTAAGACGGCGTATACAGGGCGTACCAAAATGTATGCAAACTGCCAGCTGATATTTCAACTGGCTGGAGCGTTGGCACTCAAGCCTTACCTTTGTTTTCATGAGTTGGGATCCCAGTGAGGCCGCCGAGTTCTTTACGACGGGATTAAATTAGTAAAGAAGGAGACTGGTCAAGCATTAGAACATTCTATTTGTTGTTCTGAGTTTTTGGACTCGTGCAGGGGTCCACCGTCAGAGGTAGTAGCAACAACGGGACGAGCGACAATTATAGGGCGTGCTAACCAATCATCGATTGATGACGCGAGACTGTGGGTGGCTGCCTACGGCTCTGTACGACGGCACCAGATCGATAAATCGATCGACTGAGTTCTCATCTGAGACCCTGGCTTCTCGACCCGTTGCCTGAGTGAGCGATTATCTTGGTGGCTGCGGCGTTAGACTCATGATCCAGTTCGCAGCTGTGGGCAGCCACTTGCGATAGTACGTCGCCTTGTTGCACAGCCAGCTTATGTACGTGTCTGCGCGATCTGAACATGCGCCCAGTCTGGCCTGTGTAGTTACAAGGACAGATTTGTCATCGGAATTTCGCGGGTCTTTGGTTTTCGTGATCTTGCTGCGCATGGTGGCTTTGGGACGATGTGCAATTCCAACACCTAACTCTACAGCAATGCGCCCGGTCGTTTCTGAAAAATCCTTAATGTATGGCAGAGTATGTTATATCCTTGGTGGTGTTGCTTTTTGGGTTCTCTGGAGATGACTGGGTAGACAACGATGTATAAATGCCTTCGGATAGCCATTCTGCATAAACTGGTCGCGGAGGTAACGGATATTACGTGCTCTTTCCTCCGGTTTGTTGCAATGGGCCTGAATCCGTTTAATGAGCGTTTTTTCACAGTTCTGCTTGTTAACTACCGGATGGTAGTTGTGAAAACTGAAAAAGCTGTGTGGTGTTCGTTCCCGTCCAGTGGACCGTCATTTCAGTTTCCCCATTAAGATTTCTATTAACGAGCACATCAAAGAAAGGCAACTGCTGTTCCCGTTCTTCGTCCCTCATGAATCATCCACCAAGGAAGACTGCGTCGAGCAGGTTGTGGAAACTTCGTAGCACTTCCTTCGTTACGATTCCAAAATTGTTGTCTACGTAACAGCGCCAAAATACCGGCTCATGTTCGATGAACACCGGATGAATTCGATTGGTGTCTCTTGATAGACTTAGCCTCTTGTGGCCTCTACGAAATTCTCACTAATGTCGCCCTCACTGTGGACTGTTTAGCTTCGTTGAGCGCCGCGTCTTGTTATGGGTGCGAGGTGAAAGAGCAGATGCTGTGCAAACCCGCTATCACTGTAAACTAGTTCGCGCATAAGTCGCGGACCCGCGTCGTTCGCGCTGCGGAGCACACGGTGGGCATCGTAGGGCGTTCAGACTCATCTACCAAACAAGAATGCACTAGAATACCAAACGTAATGTGTCCTTTCACTTGCGATCCTATTGCTTTCTTTTGTGCAAGACGCTATTCATTCTGGCTATCCGTAGAAAATAAATAATCTATCCTAGTGTTTTTGCTGGAACCTGCACGCACTAGAAATTGGTGCTTTCAAGTGTCCCATACTTTCGTGTGGAAAACTACACCTTAGAGATGGCCATCTCTGTGCTCACTTACGATATAGACCCTCGCCTTGTTGCATTCTCGAGGAAATTGATGCGCGAACTTGGAGTAAGTCCCTCTGAACAAACCTTTTCAGGCAAGCTCCAAATTTTGATATGAATATTTGAGCTGAAATCCATCAGCTACTGCGGAATCACCGCGTAGTATTCAGTAACCGCCAACAGGTAGCCAGTAGTATAAAATTCTGTAATTACTTGCCATACTGACAAAACAGGTAAAAGCTAAAGGCCCAAACACACGTGTTTCGCCGATCTTGTGCCGCTGCATGACGCAACTGGGAGTAGTTCGGTCAAATTTACCAGACGCAGTGCGGCACTTCTGGGCTGGAAGATGTTTCCGGTAACTACAGCAGAACATTTTTGTAGCGTACCTAATACCTGGATACCACTTTTTGATACCAGCGAAAAGGTGAGAAAGAGGCTTGCTTATCGAAGTCAGAACGAGTGTTGATGGTTGTTCGAGACCTGGTAGTCAAAATGGGCGGTTGGGTCCAATGGAAATACTATGAAAAACCGTTTTTAGGTGCCAGTATTAGTTTTTATTTAAATGCCGACTTAAAACGTACGGTTGGCTCCTGAAACAGGGTTGCTATTCCAGAGGAAATTTGCGGATCTTGTAAAAGAGACGGTGTATATTACCAACATGACCAAGTTGACTGGTGCGGGGGGAGTTCGCAAACAGTGCCTATCTTAGAACTGAGATGAAAGTAACCTTCAAGCTACTCGACCATAGTAGTCTTGCGCAGCTGGCGGTCCACACTAAGACTTTAGCCGGCCTTCACGGACCTATCTCTATTACATAATGGGAGTGACGGCCCCATTTTTAGTGTCGGAAGGCCGTTGGTCGCATAGCAATCGAAAAATCATGATCCAGAAGCCTTACCGAGACTGACAAGAGATTTTGAAACAGCCTTTCTAGTCCCAAACTCATGTCACTTAGATGACCACCGCTCATGTAACTGCGTATTTCCAGACTCACCCGATGGATCCTAGACCAATATCTCAAGTGGGGGGGGGGGAGTCTGATGTCTCAGAATATGGGTTTGGGATGTCAGAGGCAGAAGCAGTCGTCCCAATGTCTATTCCGCTGTACAGTTCAATTATTGCTGTGCTTTGGACCGTTTTTGATGTCTTTCTTCGTAGGGTTGAGGGTATAAAACAGACTGGTAATCATTTTCGCTTCTACTTTCTCGCCTTCATCTGAGTCGAACTTTTCGGCGTCTCTCCAGAAGGGAGGTTGCATGCGTTGTCTGACCTGACTTGGTCGTGGCACGTCCAGACCCGCCCCATGGACACCAGCCATCAGGCCGACGTCAACGAAGCTTTTGGGGTGGTTTACAGGGTGCAGGCAAATCGGTCGAGGCGGAGGCGGTTGCCATGCCTATAGAAGCGAAGAGGCGAGTTCCAGAAAGTATTCGCGGAGAAGGAGACACGATCGCTGGATCAAGTGCTTTATTAGCTTGACGTTTTGGATTCTCCCCTGAATCCATCTGACTCTGTCTCTGATGATGAATTTGACTGAGAGTCCGAAACGCCAGGCTGATAACGCACTTGTTTTAGCGATAGTGTCCCCCTCTCCGCGGTTGCCATGCCTCTTTTGTGCGCAACTAGGCTTCCACGCTGGCCTTGCACATGCCCCGACAAATAACAACTCCGTGCATGTCGTCAGTTGCGATGACGGACACGAAGTTGTCGGCCTGTTCCCGCTTACTCGTTCGTATTCCCCCTCTACGGAGAGGTTGGCAACCGCACCATACAACCACCGAGGTCCCACTGTCCGTGAAACTTCAGTCCCATCGCCCTCGTTTACCGATGGTTTGGTAGCATGAACAAACACCACAGCTCTCCGGCCCCCACCTCCAGACCCTTACTTAATATCGTATCACCCACCGTCCAGCTTACTACCTCATCGTGCACAACTCGGATATGCGCCCTCGGCAAAACTGTCTTCTGCTACTTCAAATGGAGATTTGCGTCAACGTGCACTACGTCGGCCGACTGCGTCCTAGTTGTTTCCCCAACATCCCGTCTCCGAACCCCCAACCGCCCTATTTGCAATCAGTTCCCTCCCCGTTCTGGGGTCGGCATGTCTCCCACCCTCTCATGGCTAACCAATCACCTTCATCCCAGTTAACTTAGGCAAACATCTTAAAACGTGACTCAAGTCGTGATAAATAAGTAATTAATTTAAATTAGCCCACGGCGCCTACTCGAGTACCAGGCACGTTGGATGAGGGATTAGCGCTGGATTACTTTTATTTGCCAGTCTTATTTGCGAATCCCGGAAAAATTTTGATCATTTTCGCAAGAGGCATTATACCGACCTTCCAGATGCTCCGTGGGGTTCATGTAAGTGTGGGCATGAAACATTTGTTTGAAGATTGAAAGGACGGTTTTTAACACCCAGCACACTAGCTTGAAAACAAAACAACGACATTTCGCTACTTCTATGGAGTCCAACATATCAACAGCAGACCTTACGGAAGATGAACGATGCTCGATCAGAAACAGTACTGTACGGGCCTTAAAAAGGTCGGAATCGCTTTTCAATGCTTTCAAATAAAGGAAGGAAAGCAATGAAAAGTCTCAAGACTGACGAAAACATTGTCATTCTTCCCGCAGACAAAGGAGGCTTAAATGCGATTTTGAACAGAGCAGACTATAATGAGGAGATGCTGTCACTTCTAGAAGATAACTCAATGTACAAGCCTCTTCCCAAGGACCCTACGAAAGGAAAGAGCCCGTCTATTGATAAAGTGCTGAAGCGCCTCATAGGCACGAAGAAACTGTCAGGAGATATTGCAAAATTCCTGCGACACTCCGAAGCAGCCATCGTGAAGATCTACGGACTGCTTAAAGTCCAGAAACCAGAAGTGCCATTACGCTCTATGGTTTCATTAGTCGGTGCACCTAAGTGCAAAATATTTAAGTGTCTGTTCCACTAACTCTACCCACTTACGAGAGATTGTGAACCGTCCATTCAGAACCCTATAGAACTTCTAGAGAAATTGAGAAGAACCACAATTTCTGCGTATGAGATGATGATCACCTTTGATATCGTTTTTTTATTCACATGCATACCATTAGATTTCACCAGGCAATGCACAGATGAACTCCTAATGTCTTTTTACACGGATATTCCCGCAACTAACTTATTTGAACTACTATACCTTTGTTTGTAAACCAATTTTATATTTAACCACCAACATTATCAGCGGCTAAAAGGAACTCCAATGGGACCATTTATATCTGGCCTTCTTGTCACGGTGACAATGCAGAAACTGGAATCGGAAGCTCTTCCGTTAGTTAACCATAAGTAGTGGGTAGGATATGTAGAAGAAACATTTATTGTCGTCAGAAGGATCAACTGGAAACGCTCCACAACACGCTCAACTCAACCATTCCGGGAATCACGTTCACACTTATTTATTGCATCGTCATGTCTCTTAGGCCTTAAGCTTGCGATTTATGAATGTTTGCATCCTTCCTCGTGCTCTGCTCTCTTCTGCCGTTCCCACTGTTTCACCATAAAGAGTACTCTTCACGGCCCCCTTATGTTGTCAGTGGTCGTTACTTTTGACCTAGTCGATATCATAGTACAACTATATCTTACAACGTTCGGGCAACTCACTAAGTGAAGTCTAGGTAATACTGTTTTGTTTCCAGACAAGTTAGTTAAAACAGTGCCCTTTACATTTCAGCTCGTCCATTCGGACAGGTACTGTGGTTGATACACATCCGTAGATTATACCTTACCTAACCCGTCCTCAGTTCTTAATTCGGTGACTTGTAAGTGCCTGTATTCATCCCTAATATTTATTTTCTTCCTCGTTACTAGGTAATAACTAGGTCATTTTACGACAGTCCTCTCAGACACTCTCGTCTGTTACCCGCATCATTAAGTTCTTTCTACTAAAACCATTCTACGTCGCCATTGTAAGATGCCCGGTCAATCCGTTAATTCATAAGGGTGTTGCTCATACCCTCCGTTAGTCGGCGCATAAACGACCAGTGAAAATGGGATTAAATTCGTCACCATAACAACCGCGTCGTTTAACAATAACATTTGCTTTCCTAATTTACTGAACCATATCTTTACCGTGATTATTGGAGAACGTTTACGCTGGAAAATTCGGATTGTTTTTCTTTAAATAGACTTCATTCTCTCTCTCTCGCCCTCCATCCAGTTATTTGTCTAGTAGAAAATGAATAACCGAGTCCCCCTAATACCTCCCACACCTGAACGCATAACCGATCTCCCAGTTTGGGGTATGCACAAGAATTGAATCTAAATATTGAAATGCCAGTCTTCAGAAGACGAGGTGGCGAGCATACGTAGCTTTCGATAAATTCTCGTCGGGCCAGTACAATTATATGGGAAGGGGGTAGTAGGACAGACACGTCAGTGATAAGATAAATCTATTAAAGTTCGCCTTAAAACACAGGCTGGGTGTGGGAATGTGAGGGAGGGGGGTAATGGCAGTCAGTGTCAGGGGCGGGGTGAGAGCGGAAGGGCGCGGGCGAGTTGTAGCGTTAGTCGACCTTCGACCACGGTAGGCGCGGTGCCTGAACGTGGTCCTTCTATGCGCACAAGATCGGTTTTTGCAACCTGATGGCGGCCGCCTCTGCTGTTGCTAACGGGCGCTGTCCCAGTGGTTTAGGATAGCTCGATGGGAAATTTAATCGATTTATCTTATCACTGACGTGTTTTCACGTCTACCACATTCCCATATAATTGTACTGGCCCGACGAGAATTTATCGAAAGCTACGTATGCTCGCCACCCTGCTCGCTGATTACTGCTATGAGAATTTTCGTAACTCTAAAATTCCAGTCTATTCAGAAGTGGCGCTGGTTTTTTGGGAAAAAAAATCATCTGTATTTTTAGTACTCTCCCTAACTGTGCCATCAGGACGTTATATTGACAAGCAGGACGACTTTAATTTCTGCGGCTCATAAGTCACCGCTATCCATTAATGGTGGCGCGGACATTTTCATACGCTCCGGTATGCACTTTTGCTCCGCGTGAGACGGCTAAGTAGAGAAGGACATGAGTATTCACCTGAGGTGAGGTACGCGTGCCAGGGCGTGGCTTTGTGCGCTTGCTTAATAGAATTTTTGCTATGCCGGGCACCACCCAACCGATCGGAGCTACGGGGGGGGGGGGACGACGGAGAGTGAGTGGACAGTGGCTGTTTCAAATGGCCACCCTGCTCCCTCTGCCCTCCAGAGGCCATTTTACAATCATCAAAAGATGCCCGCGGCCTGGAGCTCAGACAGCGCGGCAGTCACGTGGCACAACAATCAGCCCCCCGGCAGACATCGCGCCCTAACAACTGACTCGCCGTGTTCCGCCATCGCCCCCTGCCTCTCACCCACCCTCGTCACATGTCGCTTGGTCTCGTTATCCCACTCGACCCCCACCCCTCCAACCGACCTGACCGACCCCCATTCCTCTTTGTCCTCCCACGGGAATTGAATTCCTCACGCTCAAGCACTGCGATTTTCACAGGCCTCATGACGACCCGTCCGTCATTAGCTTAGACAGACGTCATACTTCCCGGGCGGCTTTACAATGCCTACGTAAAAGTAATTATCATTGCCGATACAAGCGAAGATGCGAGTTCCGGGAACTAGTTGATAAGAGGAAGAAGAACAAGAAACGATCGCTGGAACAAGGGCTTTATTCGCCTGACCTTTCGGATTCTCACCTGAACCCACCACCCGAGACAGTGGCAGAAACGGGTCACTGCTGTCTCTGGTGATGGGTTCAAGGGAGAATCCGAAACGTTAGGCGAATAATGCCCTTGCTTCAGCGATCGTTTCTTGTTCTTCTTGTTCTTCTTCTTCTTGTTATTCTTGTTCTTGTTCTTGTTCTTGTTCTTCTTCTTCTTCTTCTTCTTCTTCTTCTTCTTCTTCTTCTTATCAACTAGTTCCCGGAACTCGCATCTTCGCTTGTATCGGCAATGATAATTACTTTTACGTAGGCATTGTAAAGCCGCCCGGGAAGTATGATGTCTGTCTGAGCTAATGACGGACGGGTCGTCATGCCCTTGGTCTAGCGACCGCTTCTTCTTCTTCTTCTTCTTCTTCTTCTTCTTCTTCTTCTTCTTCTTCTTCTTCTTCTTCTTCTTCTCCTTCTTCTTATCACTTATTATCATCCCTACAAAGGACTAACAAGGGTCTACTTTTTTCGAGAGTCTCTCTGTGGAAAGTGATGCTTAAAGATATAGAAAGTTAGGATCCCCTTAAAGTCTTCGAGAAATATGGTACTTTTTGGGCTAAGTTCTGGACCTGTACATGCCTCTAAAACCGTTCTCAAAATGGTGGTGCGAGAAGGCATTCTGGCGCTGTGAAAGTATTCGTGTTTGTCTGTCGTGCACCGTAAGCAATCTTAAGAAAAGTACAAATGTCTGACTAAAGTACCTCCACGTCGACGTCTCAGACGGCTTCGAACACTTGCTTCCAACCTAAACATTTTTCTTCAATTATGACTCTGAAGTTATCTAAATCTCCGACGAGATGACCAATCAAAACGATGGATGATGTCAGTCATTTTTAGTTGTGTTTTGATTGGCTTAACATAAGCCTCACATAGCAACCGACATATCCCCGCTAATTAAGCAAAGTTTTCAATAGGCAGACTGGCGAAAACTGTTAAAAAGATTCTCAGTCAAAAGAAATCGCATCGCGGTATATGCAGTAGCTCAAGGCATTCTTGCAGCCGATAGCATCATACACCCATTAAGGTGTTTTTCCATGAAAAACGTGATCTACAGTCCTGTTGGCAACACCTTGAGTTTTACTGCACATTTATGACTGCATTTAAGAGGCACCATGGTGTTATGCCGGCTAACATATAGACATACCTGTCTGAGGACGACATTTAAACAAAATCCGATTAAACTGTTGATTTTGGAGACTAAATAGCGTGGGCCGAATGATATTACCCGCAAATACAAGGGAGACTAAAATGGCGATTTCTGGCTTATTAGCCGTCGCCAGCCAGTCATACCCAACCCCGAAATGTAGAAAACATGAGGCTCGATCCCGCGACCTGTTGGTTAAAACTCCAACTATTAACTAGCGTGAATGTTTTGTAATCTACGTAGAACTGGTAAACATGGTAATCGATCTTTCAACCCTACGTAATGAATCCTATCCTAACTGAGATCGCATTTTAAAACGCCGCTTGATGCTTCATGAAATTCGTCACCTACTGTTACTCTACACTAATTAAGCACTGAAACAGGCACCATTATAGGGGGCTGGATTTTGGCGAAAATCAGCGAGGTCGAGGAAAATTTAAATGACTTTTCGGGGCTTACTTGTCAATATCAACTGCACCGCAGACCGGAAGGACATGAGATTTAAGCCTGGGTTCACTTGACCTTTGAGCACTTTATTCATACGCCCTCAAACATGAGCCACGGGCGTTCGGGAGTATCCAGGGTCAGTCGTTAGTGGTTTGGAACAGGAGATGCGATCGTCGAAACATGAATTTTTTAACATTGGCTGGTTGTCCGTATGGAAATGTCTTTAAGAGCAGAGCACTGCAGTTTCAAGGTACAGTAGGTGAGCTAACTCATGAAATGTCCACCTGAATTCCGAAACGCGTTTTCGTTTCGAAAAGCTCAATTAAGTAGGGTTGTAAAACAAATCATCTTACAGCATAAGTCTATAATATTTCGGTTACCGCAGAATGCCGGCTTTCGAATTAACTTCCTTCCGGCTGCATGCAAAAACTACAATCTGTAAAAAAGGACTACTTGAGTAGCATGTATTTTTCTCATTGACTTTCGATGCCCCTAAATGTCCAATTATATTTCATGGAAAACATGCGCAAAAATATTCATTCTTTTGCTCCTTTGGCACAAAATTACGTCTTCTTCCAATATTATACTCGAAAGAAGGGTATAATTCGGTTTTCAAAAACTTTTCTAATTCCCGAATAATTTTGAACCCGCTCTACCGTTACACTTGCATTCAGGGTTTCCCAACTACAAGCCGTATATTTTCCGCCTACGGAAAACCATGCATTTCTCTACGATAATAAAGGGGGACCACATAGGGATCATAAAATTTAGCAGCGGATTTGATCCATAGTGTTAACTTTACGAGCCACATTGGTAAATGCAGAGACATGACGATTTGTGAACGACCATTTTACGATATTTAAAAGTCCCACAACAAGACAGTATTTTAAAACTTAATTATATCCCTCCATCGAGCATGTAAATAGAGGAAGAGGTAATGTTCTACCGAATGAGTAAAAGAATGGATATTTTTATGCATGGTCTTCCATGGAATATAATTGAACTTTTAGGGGCATCGAAAATCAATGAGAAAAATCCATGCTACTTAAGTAGTCATTTTTACGGAGCGTAGTTCCTGTATGCAGCCGAAGGAAGTTTATTTGAAAGCCGGCATCCTGAGGTAACTGAAATATTATATAATTATTCTGCACGATGATTAGTTTTACAACCCTACTTAATTAATCTTTATGAAACGAAAACGCATTTCGGAGTTTTGGTGGACATTTCATGAGTTAGCTCACCTACTGTAAATTGGGACAATTATGTCTCCGTCGTCTTTACGCATCAGTTCAACGCTATTTCTGAGTGGATGGTTTAATTTATCCTCAAACGACAGCGTTTATACGGCATAGGACTGTTCATTTGCTATGATTAAAAACAACACCAGAACCTATTTAAAACAAGGGCAGGGACATGTTAAATCTAGATGTATATTGCCTACACTTTTGAGGCGAAGAACGGGAGTGTTTGAAGCAACCGGGTCTAATTGAGAGGGAAATTTCAGGGCTCTCACGAAATTTACCACATAATTGTTGGCCTCCGCGGAACATTCAATTTTGAGGGATAGTCTTCATTTTCCGCCAATGGAAATTTTCGACAAAAGCATCTTCCTGCACTGGGATCCAATAACAGGCAAAAAATATTCCGCCTGATTGTCTAGTTCGACGCAACTTGAATTTACCGCTTCCCTTAAGCTGGTGTGGATTAGGGTCAGTCTGGATGCGTGTCATAAATAGGCATGAATAAATAGCGGGATCAAACCAGTGTACGGAAAAGGAGTTGACTGATCGGCGAATTTGATCGTGATCGAAAAATGAATTAGATGGACGACCCGCTGTATAGTCAAAGGGAGGCTGGCGCGGACAGCTAATGTGAAGAGGCCGTTGGGGGATCGCAGCTTTGACACCAATTTCGTAAATCGATAAATCGATTCCCCCTCACAAATCACGTTCTACACATGCAGTGCCTGATAGCGGCCCCATTCTAGCCAAGAAAGCCCACATCTGATGCGCAGTGAGGAATTAAACGAGACGGCGCGTCTGTTTCTGTGACACTATGGTCTCTGCAGGCTTCAAGTAGCTCAGACGATTTCGAAGAATGTCACGGCGACCGCGAGGGAGAAAATCCCCCGAAATGAGTCAGCAAGATGTGATTGCGCAGGGTTATCGTGGCGAAATATTCGTTTCCCGATCATCTTTCTTCTATGGAGGTGGACTACTATGAATTCCTGCCGATTTCGCGGAGGATGAATCGTGCTTTTCAAGTCGCAATCCTCATTGGAGAGACTGACCGCATTCTCGGCTTTTGATAAACGCAGTTCGTGGCTGAGACAGTCTGAAAACCAAGAGTGGAAAGGGTATGGTTTATTACCGGGGCTACTTATTCCAGGGAAATTGTGCCAAAGGAAAATGGCTGGCGATATTTATCTGAGCGTGCCAAAGACGTAAAAAGACCTCTCGGTGGCCGTGGCGTGAGGGTGATCAGAATGGTTTGAGGTAGTCATCGCAGTAAGAATACGACAATGCCATACTTTTTTGACAATGCCTGCAAATGGGCATTATATTTATTTACTATTATCATTTTGCCTTGTTTAATTTCCGAGGAAACTAATGCTCGAACTTGGAGCAAATCCTTCGAAACAGGCCTTTTCAGGCACGGTTCAAAGTTTGATATGAATATTTGAGCTGAAATCCATCAGCTACTACGGAATAACCGCTTAATATTCACAAACCGCCAACAGACAGTTATTAGTATAAAACTGTGCAATGACGTGCAATGTTGTTATTACGGTAAATCAATATACAGTACTATTACCATTAAATGACAAAAACTGTGTCCCCTTTTAATTGATGACAATATGGAGTACCAAAATTTGTGATACCCCAAATTTCTTAGATGTTCAGCTATTTTGTTCAATACATATGCTTCCCGCGGTAAGTAACCTCAGCCATAAGCCACATCGTCGCCCAAAGAGCATATGCTCAAGGGTGTGGTTTTATGATCCTCGTTCAACCAACTGGCACACTGACCTCCCTCGGCATACCAGGTCTTGCAGTACCACTTACACGGAGGCCGAGGCAGGATGGCTGCGGGGGGATCGTGCTGCTCAACCAGAGTTGGCTTGACAATCCGCTCGACCGACATTCAGGCCAACGCGTCAGCAGCTCGAATCACTACCCTATGGTCCTTATCGTCCTCACCTGACCTGCTGCCGTCCAAGTACACTAGCAGGGGACCCAAACAGGCCGAAGCAGCGGATTATTAAAAGATCGATCAAATCAAGGACGACCAACTCGGCAGATCGCTTAAATGTTGCCTTTCCTTTGTGCGCTCTTCGTTAATGGGTCAACGAACAGACCGTTTTAACAATTAATGTTATAACAAATCGAAAAAGATCTTAGCCTTCTAGGGAGACTGCCCCTAAACTGACTCTTTCTTACTTGCTATGAACTCGGAGGTGGGCTCGCCAGCTTATCGAAGCTCGCGACAGTTAAACCCACCGAGAAATACCCTAGGTCCTTCTGCTTGGTAAGGAAATAATTGCTGACTCATTCTTGACATGTGTCGTGGACTGGCACATTGGCATTTTTGCACATCTTATATGCTTACACTCACATACCTTTTGCAGTTCGATCGTCTTTGAACTCCAAAGGTCTAAATGCAATTATCTCAACTGCTTAATCATGCAGGCTTTCCCAGCAGTCAATGAGTAATAGCATAGTGCCAGGAAATTTGGATTTCTTTACGTGGTCTGTTAAGTGAACTTTGACTAACTTCATCACGTGCTGTGAGCTCAAGAGTGCTTAGCATTGAAATGATTTCATTGTATGATTCAGTACTTGTACATATGTGCTTCTCTAAGTTTCGCCCCCAAAAAGCAGCATATAAAATTCAATTCCTCTCTTCGACCTGAAAGTGTTTTTTTAAAATCTTCGCCTAGTAAACCCAAGAAGGCCGACTCATTTTGGTTACAGGACAGAAATAAACCTTTCTGTCGTGCCTTTTAGGTGAGGAACTGCAGCCTCCTCAAGCTGTGGTATGGCAGTTAGCCACCAATATTTGAGAAGTGTTCACTGACGGATTCGGGGACGCTGAACGGATGTCTCTGGCTTATTTGGCATCATCAGCAAGTCATGTCCTATTAGAGGACTACATACCCTAGGGATTCGAATCTCGAATGTGTGGCCCCTCAAATAAGCCAGAAATGGCCATTCCAATATGCCTAAATTTGTCGCTACGAGACTTCTCATCTAAAGGCACATAAGTTAGTGTCTCGAGGGTGTGGTCCAGTGTTTCTCTGAGAACTTTTAGCATACTTGCTATGGACACACCTTTTAAGCACACGGGAATAGTTCTCAGTTATTTTCCCAGCACAGGGCCAGGAGTTGTTTGCAGTACACTAATTTGAAATTCATACTCCAAAGCATTTGGACTCGTGTGAGAGTCTAACATCAGAGGCAATGTGGGATCGGCGACATTGATAATTAACACGCGTCCTTGTCCCCAAACAGGGTTGCGATATCTCTTGTTGAGCCTCCCAACACGCGACACAATCGATACTGATCAATATGTCGATATATTAAATTTTGGCCTGAGATTCGATTTTCAAGTAGCTTTCCACCCGTAGCACTGCCCTCCTGCTGTCAAAATCGAATTCGCAGGCTACATGTGAGACGTGTGCACGGGTTAGAGACAGTGTGCAACATTGCCCCTCAGTCGCGTTAAGATCTCAAATTGGCGGGTCGAGATCGTTTGACGTCTGATCTGGCGTGGGGAGGTGCGGAAGAGCACCTGAGATCACGAGTATGCCAAAAAAATTTACTGCTGATCACATACCCTCAGCGGGTCTTCAAGCTGCACAACTCTTGGGCGTGTCATCACCAGGTCAATAAACGATGCTGCAAACGAAGGCGGTGGCAGAGCCCTCTTGCGTCAGAACACCTCTTTCCTGCGTCTTCAGGCACTAAAAACGTCCCTGGATAGAACAAAATCTAAGGCCTGCAGGTGACATCCGTATGCCTTGGAAAGGCCAAGGTATCTACTACAAAGACGGACCTTCCGTGGAGTCTGTGCTATTCTGAGATTTTACGATAGGCCTACTAATCGACTAGGGGAGTGGCTTGGTGATCGCGTACAGAACTGAGGTTAGAGTGTTATTACCGAAAAGGACAAGGGAGACTGGAATGGCCATTTCTGGCCTATTAGCCGTCGTCAGCCAGCTATATCCAACTTCGAAGTTGAAACACCCGAGGCTCGTACTCGCGACCTGCTAGTTAGAAGTCAACGCCTCTAACCACTGGGCCACGAGCCCGTCGCCCTGCCGGTTTCGATCGGGAAAATACAATGGTAGGGGGCGCTCACCGATCGTTCATACGGAACTCACTCGTTCCGTTTTGCCTTACGGGCTCTCGCTCGAGCCCAACCAGCAGCCGCACAGCTGCACATGATATTAAGGCAGAATGGTGTTACCGACAAAGAGGGTGTTCCGAATGACGACGTTCTCGTTGAACGGTCGTACCCACTCGGAGCAAAAATTGCCGATCAAATCGATGAATTCGGCGGGAGGAGTGTTAGCCAAAACGCTAGTGTCTAGACAGATGAAGTCCTTTTCCAAAAACTGAGACGTGGTGACCAGTTACGTAGTTGGAGGGTTACTGGTCAGTCAACAGGCCCGTGAATATATTGTCCTACGAGTCAAGAGCTCGGAGAGTCGTACTGACGGTTTATGTATTCTGGGCCTATTTCACTGGAGGCGGTTATCAGTCATTAGGCCATTGTGGCGGAGCAATACCCCCCGGTCATAATGCGGCCACATGTTCAAAACAGACGGTGGCATCCAATTGATTCCCTGCCATAAGGGATTCTTGGACTCTAATCCCATGAAGGATGTCTAAGACTGACCAGGGCATGCGGCGCGTTACCTTAACTACCCGCCTGCCCCCAAATAGTCCACATGGTAGATGCGCTGGACCATCACGGGGCCTAAATCGGACTCTGGGAGGCGGTATCGGATAGTGCACCAGAACAACTGCCAACATTCCGGGGTGGGATGACAGACCCGGTTGCCGGCAGATGCCACGCACACTGCGGCCCCGATCACCTCCTCCCGCATTGTTGCTGTCGTTGGTCATTTTCTTTGTGGACCAGGGGGTGTGGAGTGGAGTGCCAAGATGCGGGCTCGACCGTGCCATTCACCTGCGCCCTCCCCCGCCTCCGGTCTTCTGACTATGTCTTGACACCGGGTCCAGGTGGGGAAGGAGGAGGGAGTGTGGTAGATGCTGTGCAAATCTACTATCAATATAAACTAATTCATCCACAAGTCACAGTACTTGTCCTCACATTACTGCGGAGCACACGGTGGACATCGTCGGCACCGACGGTCGAACTATCATCACTCGCCAGTTCATGAAGGCGGCACTCGCTCAAAACATTAAAACAACTGCCACGATAGTGTTTTGTAGGTTTACTGAAGACGTGGTGGGTACAGTGGTTGACTAACAGTTGCCCGTAGAGGGTCGATGAGGTAGCGACCAGTACCTGAATAGCTTAAAGTAAAACAAGCACTTTCTCCAGCCCAAAATTATGGGCGTCTCAGGCTGCAACACTGGGCCTCTGTATGGCGCCAATTTGCACGCGGGCACCAGAGGCAGTCGTCCGTCCGACGCACTGAGGTTCCGCAGGAGTCTCGTATCGAGAGGTTTCGCCTGTTGTCCGGCCAATCACGACAAGTTGCACTGGTTAGTTGATTTCAAGGTTAAAACGACCATGCCCTCCACTCAAAGCCCTCGAACACCTGCTATGGCGACGCCGGAACTGAATCTGTCCTCCAACTTATTTATTATCAATTTTGCGCAGAAGACAGTACGGTCGGATCTTATTTCGCAACCGTACCTGCAGTACCTGCCAACTCCTAACCCCTAACAGGTGCGGATACGAAATACGATCTTACCGAAAATACTCATTCTTGAAGAAGGAGAGACGATCGCTGGGACAAGTGCTTTACTAGCCTGACGTTTCGGAGTCCTGCTCGAACCCATCATCAGAGAGAACAGCAGATGCGGGTGGTTCATGCACAAGGGGCTGCAGTATTTATAGGATGCAGTCGCCATGCTACCGCATACCTATGAACATTCACGGCTGCCCCCCTTCCTCAGGGATCGTTGCATTTGGTGTGCTAATTGTTTGATGGCCGACATTCGCGTCGTTAATTGCTTCAATTTCATCACGTGCGTTGGATGTTGGTGTGATAATAGCAAGACCATCTGACCCACCGACCCCGGTTTGGGACAGGTGCTCACCTGTGGGCTTCCCGCGTGGCTAATTACTCCGCCTAGGCGAAGTCTCAGCACCGAGTATGGAGGGGAAGGTCATTGCACTTGTTAATTGACTGGGGGCCAGTAAACCATGATTCAAGTAGCTCCCAGCCCAGGCGGTTGTCACCTCTTGCAAGAATTTCGGCCTCGTCGAATTTTAATGTGTGACCGGATCTCGATGAATGAGCCGCAACTTGAGAGTTGGCGTCATTTCTCCGCACCACTGCAGCGTGTTCGGCCATTCGCGTTCGGAGCTGTCTTCCGGTTTCTCCGACGTAGTTGCTTTGTCCGCAACAGCACCAGATCCGATAAACGACTCCAGACATTTCTAGTCGTGGCAACGAGTCTTTCGGTTTCATTACCAGACGCCTGATGGTTGCCTCCGGTCTATGTGCAACTCCAACCCCAAGTGGTGCGAGAAGGCGGCCGACAGCTTCCGAAACGTTCTTGACATACGGAAGCGCGTGCCAAGATTTGGTGTCCCTGCAGTTAGGCCTTTCGTCCCTTTTGCGTATGCACCGGTTGACGAAGTTGCGCGGATAGCCGTTGGCTTTGAAGACCCGTCGGAGGTATTGTAGTTAGACAATCTTGTCTTCCGGCTCACTGCAGTGCGTTTCGACACGCCGATAGAGCGTCCTTACACAACTGCGTTTGTGACTGATTGGGTGGTTGCTGTTGACGTTCAGTACTTGCATCGTATTTGTCGCTTTCCTGAACACTTTGGTCTTTAGTCCACCACAATCTTTGCGGCATACGAGGGAATCCAGGAAGGCCAGCCGGTTGTTCTTTTCCTCCTCCATCGTAAATTATATGTCCGGGAAGCCCGCATTGAGATATTCCTTGAATGTCATCAGTTGATTCCGGTCGATAACGATGAAGGTATCATTCACATGCCGGACCCAGAACTTCGGTTTGTGTTGCTGGAAGACCAGCGACTCTAGCCGTTGCAGGACCGCCTCGGCGATGAAGCCCGAAATCGGCGAACCCATTGATGCGCCCTTCACCTGTTCGTAGATTGTCCCGTCGAACGTGAAGTACGTCCTGAGACAGAACTTCAGGAGCTGAAGGACTTGGGTGTGTCCAAGACGATTCTCCGCTTCATCATATTTGCTTTGTAGAAGCGGCTCGGTTGTCTCGATCGCCAGGTCGTTGACCTACTCCCTTCTTTCGGGATGCCTGCCGAGAAAAACTCACCAATGCGGAGAAGTGTGGGGAGAGGAACCAGCGAGCGTGTGGTGCGACCCAGACGAGTGTTTCATGCAACTGCGGCGTCTACGCCCATCCACATTCGACCTGACCTGTTGAAGGTCACTGGGGCCACAATCCTTGCAACAGACGAATTACAGCTTGCCGTCACGCCCGGAGATCTCTGTTGTACTAGCGACTGCCAAATAACTTGCTAATAGAAGTGAAGAGGCGAGTTACAGGAAGTAGTCACGGGGAAGGAGACGGAGGAAGCGATCATGTCTCCTTCTCTCCTACTGAATAACTTCTCGTTTGGACCGCTTTCGAGCCTTCTCACGCACAGAAATCCGGTGCGGGTCGTCGTCGTTTGCTTCTCCTCCTCCTCCTCCTCCTCCTCCTCCTCCTCCTCATCCTCATCCTCATCCTCCTCTTCTTCTTCTTCTTCTTTTTCTTCTTCTTCTTCCCCCTCTTCTTCTTCTTCTTCTTCTTCTTTTGTTATCTTCCTCCACCCTCGTTCAATGAAAATCGGAGGAACTTGTGCGAATAAGAATTCTGACTCAGGGTGAACAACATAGTCAGCCAATACCAAAAGTACAAAGAACGAAGAGGTTATGAATACTGCCATTTCAGGAATGAATACATTTCGATAGAAGCAAGGATTGCTGAGCAGCAGTCTAAATTCTCTATGACTTCTGTAATGCCTCCGATTTCTCTCATTCACATTGCTCAGCCCCAATTTTTCGTACCAACTTCGATGAAAAAATAACTTGTTTTCTAGTTGCCATTTAAAAAAACTCTAGGTTGGTACCACATGCGCTGAAATAGTAATTAACTGGTACTCGAAGTACACAGACCATAGGTGCACAAGCACCGGTGAAGAGTTATCGTCATGCTATTTAGAGACTTTTGAAACTGTGATATAGTTTTTTCTACAACCCTTCAACCCATTTGTACGTTTGTTGTTTCTAAAAACCACAGTGACTCAGCTGCACTCACACAGTTGGGGTCCCTGGAGGCTAGAATACGATCAGTGGAGGGTCAGATGTCCAAAAAGTGCTCGAGAGACAGTGAGCGAGAGGCATCATCATCATCATCATCATCATCATCATCATCATCATCATCATCATCATCATCATCATCATCATCATCATCATCATCATCATCATCATCATCATCATCATCATCATCATCATCATCATCATCATCATCATCATCATCATCATCATCATCATCATCATGACTACTCACATCCAACTTTGTAGTAATAAATAGCCACCAACTTCAACTCACCTTTGTGTTTAGCATATAAACGCGCATCAGTCGGCCGTGTCCACCACTGACTTTCGAAGTGGGCCAAACAAAGGAGAATTGTCGCTTTTTAATTTCCTCAGAAATTAACTGCAAACTCGGGGTAGATTAGTATATTCTAGGTCTATAGGCTCAGACCGAGAATTTTATGTATGAATATTTGGGTCGAAGTCCATCAGCCATAGCGGACAACCGCGTAATATTCAGTAACTGACGGCAGGGTAAGGAGATACCATACTAACAGTACAGGTACTAGCTGAAGGCTCATAAACGCGGGTTTCGCCGATATTCTGTCGCTGAATGACACAGCTGCGGGGCGGGGGTTCGGCTCATCATTGGGTTCCCGGCAGTCCCCGTCTGCTTTCTTGTAGGTACTTCAATGTAGAAAAGCATTAATTTGTAAATTGAAGTGTCCACCAGAAAGCAGACGGGGAACGCTGTAAGACCCACTGATTCAGCGAAACAGACATGCGCGGCACCTATCACATTCCCTCCTCGCTCGCCTACAGTGGCCGGATTACAAAATGAATTCAGGACAATCGGAGGTGGACTCGGTTACAGTCGCTACAAAGGCTAAACAGTCCAGAAGACGAAAATGCGATCATTGGAACAAGAAATTTTTTGACCTGACGTCTCGGATTCTTACTCGAACGATGGAGGAGGAAGAAAACAACCGACTGGCCTTCCTAGATGTCCTCGTCTGCCGGAAAGATTGTGGTGGTCTAAAAACAAAAGTGGTCAGGAAAGCGACAAATACGATGCAAGTACAGAACTTCAACAGCAACCACCCGATCAGTCACAAGCGCAGTTGCGTAAGGGTGTTATGCCGGCGCGTTGAGACGCACTGCAGTGAAATGGCAGACAAGGCTGCAGAATTACAATATCTTCGACGGGTACTGAGAGCCAATGGCTACCCGCGCAACTTCGTCAACCAGTGCATACGAAAAGGACACCAGAGACCAAATCCAACAGGCCCCAAATTTTGGCGGACTCTTCCGTACGTGAAGAATGTCTCGGAAGCCGTCAGTCGTCTTCTCGCGCCCCTTGGAGTTGGGGTTGCACACAAGCCGGAAGCAACCATCAGGCGCCAAGTCATGACACCCAAATACCCACCGCAACGGCAGGAAACGTCTGGAGTCGTTTACCGGATCTGGTGTAGTTGCGGACAAAGCAATTATGTCAGAGAAACTGGGGGATTACTCCGTACGCGAATTGCCGAGCACGCAGCAGCAGTGAGGCGGGGAGACGCTAACTCTCAGGTGGCAGCTCATTCGACGGGCCCCGGCCATATTTTCAAATTTCAAGAGGCCGAAATCCTCGCAAGGGGTGACAACCGCGTGAGCCGCGAGCTGCCCAGCTCATGGTTCTCAGGCCCGCAATCAATCGGCAAGCGAAATGACCTCCCAATACCGTATTCCGTGCTGAGATTTCCTCTGGGCAGGGGAATCAGTCACGTGGGGAGGGCGCGGGTGAGCAATTATCACGGTGGCAGTGAGCCAGTTTGCCGAGCAATCGTCACACCAGCATCGAGCACGGATGACGAAATCGCGGCCATTGACGATTCGGACTCTGACTGACAAGCGACCATCGCATCAATTACTACCCAAGCGATGACTGCGAGAACTGTTTATTGCAGTGCGCATATGTTCCCACGGCTGCCACGTGCTATAAATACTGCACTCCTGGTGCCACCTTCACCTCTATCTGCGACTGTCTCTGATGATAGATTCGAGTGAGAATCCGAAATGCCAAGCCAATAAATTTCTTGTTCCAGTGATCGCATCTTCGTCTTCCGAATTGCTTCCGTCTACACGTACCGCACACGACCCGGTCACCACCCACTTCGCCAGACTAAAGCAAGAGCGACTCGGATCTCACATATTAGAGAATATCACCAAGATCACAGTAAGAAATAATCAAGACATTCGAACCCTCGCACTCGGGAAGGATAAAGTTATCTCGTCACTTGGCCGAGGCGCTTAGCGCATCCTGATAAGTTCAGGCGATTGCCCGGTATATTCGATGAAACTAACAAGACTCCTGACAGCACGCGTCAGTGAGTGTCCATTGTGCAGTTATTATAGATAGAGTTCGACCGATTGAGGAATATGGAACCATTTGCCTGACTTAACAGTCAAGAAGCATAAAGCCAAATCTCTGTCCAATTTGGGACATAAACCATTTCATAAAGGCCCTTCCGAATTGGCCACTGTCAGCGCTGACAGCCATTTTTCGGCAGCAACTTGTCAGTGTTGTATTAGCAGGAAGAGAGTCTATTTATACGAGGCGTAGACCACTACAAATGTCTGTAAGCGCGTGGGTACAAACTGAGTGGATGTAGATGAATGTCCCGAAATACGGTAAAACTGCCCCGCAGTAGACACCCTTGTGATAAAATAAAGTGCCCACGAGTTTTTTCAGTCTAGGAACAAGTATCGTGACCAGCATCGTGATGGAGGACAATCCTAGCTTTTGGAGGCGTGAAGTAGGTTCACAATAAGCTCGTGCAGATAGCCGGAACATCCCGATTTTCGGTTTTCTCAGGTCAATGCCTTTGAGATACAAGTCTTGATTTAGGTACAAAACCCAGTCAGAAGATGAGGGATTTCCCGGAAAGCTGCTGTACATGTTTGTCAGAGGCTTCGGATCAGTGTTCACACTCATGCCCAGAGAGGGAAAGAAAGTACTCCGGTCACTGCCCACCTGTAAGACAGCTGTTCTCGAAGTCTCCAACTCCGAGCCTGCCTTCGTTTCACATGTCCGAACAGCAGTGGTTTGCCGTCGGCGAAAATGAACCCGGAGGGTAGTCGAGTCACCAAGTGCAGCGGATAACATACTGCGCTTTTCGACGCCCATACCAGACAGCTGTCTCTCAATGAGGTCAAAATTGCGCCGGTTTTCGACCGCATAAGGTGTGATTTGGGGGTAATTGGTCACAGCACCTAACAGCAGTCATTTGTAACTAATATTCGTGTGGCCGCCTGGCGGCCTGTTTAACCGTCTGGGTGCGGAAAAAGAACAAAAAATCTTTTTCTGCTGCCTACCTCATATTAACTACGGTTTCGAGCACCGTCGCTTCGCTGCAAGATCGCCACTTCTGTCATAACCGCGAAGAACAACCTCTTTTTGTCGACCAAATCTACACTGCCAGACAGTGTGAATAGACGACAGTCTAAAACCTGCATTAATTTTCACAGTTTTGTTCCCCTGGATCCGAAACGGAACTTAGTTCAGGGATTGGCGGCTAGAGTGCGACGCATCTGCTCGCCTGAAGCTGTTGAAGCAGAACTCCAGCAGCTGCTGAACACGCTCCAAGAAAACAGTTGTCCAGAGAGATTCATCCTCCGGAATATTAGAGAACGTGCCACAAAACCTGTCGTTGCAACTGTAGAAAAGAAAGATCACCTTTTCTAGGAGACGCAGCAAGCGAATTTGTGAGACGCCTAACTACAGCTATCACGAATGCCTTCCCCGCAGCGAACTTGCGCATATTCTTCGCGAACTCTCCCCTCCTACGATTAGGGGCCAAAAACCGACTGCAGTCTATGTGTATTTATTCACTCCCCGCTCCGCAGGAGCGGGATACATTGCTCTTACAACGAGGCGTCTGGAAAAGAGGGTACGCGAACACATACCTGCCTTACTGGGTAGGGAGAAAGTCGATCGGTTTGAAATTCGATTCTCGCGCATTTAATTGATACGAACCACCAAGTCGACGCCAAAAAAGCCTTTGGAGTTATCACTCGGGCGCCAGCGCACTACTCTAAAAGTCTACGCAAACGGATGCTACTAATAGCCGTGATGGTGGCCGTTCGATTAGCGAATCCGGCTCTCTGTTGTCAGAAGACGCTGACACAGGCAGTCTGTTTTCCGTGGCGGACTCCAAGTGGTGATCGCACGTCGCCACAACGCCCTAGGAACAGTCACACACACACACTCCACGTGTTTGACATACAGACAGCATTCACAACCTAACCGAACCCTTCCCCTTCCCGCCCCCCACTCTAGCTCCACTGTCCTTAACACGCTGACTTCCTCATGCAGGCGGCGTGGGAACAGGGAGTTTAAACTAACCCTGCCCCGTGAAACATATTTAAATCCTGTCCATAGCTCACAAGTTCACCCTCCATATAAGTGTATTGGCCTGGCGACGGAGTACCGAAAACATATGTTTGCCAGCTGACCTTTTTCAATCGTAGTGTGGGAAGTTTCACAGAAGCTAAAACAGCTGTGGTAGGGAAATTTACAAACATTACCCAGGTAGGGAGCGTCTGCGGTCCGCTCTGACTAAAATCAGACCAGCGAACTCAGCCACCTTGTGGTTATGACTACTGTGAGTGCAGCTGACGGGACATGAACCCTTGACCCGGTGGAAGGAGGTCACTTTAACGAGCCCACCGCCGTTATCAGCAACAATTATCGATCGTTGATTGCGCGTCACTGTGTGACAATGGACGCCCCACAGTGGTGCCCCATTCTAGAGCGGAACACCAGTACCCCTACTTGCAGCCCAACTGAGATTGGTGAAGACCGGTAGCACGTGAAGTTCAAAACCACACAGCTCCTGGATAACAACAATGACCGACAGCTCATTCTTCGAGAGTGCAGTGTAAGCAGTAATGACTTTCGAGTGATTATCAACAGTAAAGCTGACTAACTCTATTGGCGCACCGTCCTTCCTCCCTCCCAACGGGCTGAGACAGCTGGATATGAACTCAAACTCTGCGAAGTCACATGAACGCGTATCATAATCGTGTTGGTGCCTAATCATGTACAACGAAGTGATTATTGAGGGGTCCCAGATCTCACATGCATGAGGGTGCCAGTCAAGCCATGTTAAGAGAAGGCTACTGTAGCCATATACCCAGCCCGCGTAGAACTGAATTAATCTGCCAATTGACAACCTTTAAAGCCAGGACATTTCGCTTAACGGGATAATCTTGTGGTGACCTAACGACCAGTCAACCTCAGGGTAGCCGCTCGCTGTGAAGAGTTCC